GTCTGTCTGTGGGTCTGTCTGTCTGTCTGTCTGTCTGTCTGTCTGTCTGTCTGTCTGTCTGTCTGTCTGTCTGTCTGTCTGTCTGTCTGTCTGTCTGTCTATCTGTCTCTGTGCGTATGTGTGTGGGTGTGTGGGTGCGGGTGTGGGCGTGCGTGCGCGTGCGTGCGCATGCGTGTATGTGTCGATAGGTGCTGTGTGGTCCAGTTTACAGTCAGTGGCTTGCCCACCAGGACTCACTAGCTTCATGCAATGATGAACTTGGTTGTCTGGCGTGCAGGTCCCTGATGGTTGCAGAAATTTTAGTGTTTTTTTTGTCTGTGCCGTGAGTCAGCAGCTATTGTGCAAGGGTCACCCCCAGTCTCATGTCACGGATCTTCCAAGGATTTGAAACTTTGCGGCCCAAGCCCAGAACAGAAAGCCCTCAAGCCTACAACCCTATTGCCCCAACTCTTCAACATGAACCCCCAAGCTACGCGGCAGATACCAGCGGAGCTTGCGAACTCGGACTACCCAAAGAAACGGAGGCGGGTTTGGCTTTCATACGGTTTTGCAGAATTCTACTACAATATACCCCCAAACCCTGCTCCAATTATCTATGACCGAATTGTCGAACCTTGTCACAAGGATTGTCGGGTTTTAGTGATTTTAGTGGATCGGCTTTTTGTAGGTCGCTTTTGTAGTATGCTCCGGGTTGCGATGAGGCTTTCGGGTGCATGGCTGAGAATCGAAAGGCCTTCATGGATCTGTGTTGTTCCAAGCTCACAGCTCAGATGGTTTAGTACTGCAGTGGCGTCGTAGCCTGAAACATCCTGCTAAACACAAACCCACTCCATACATCCCGAGCTCTAAACAACCCTAGACCCTAAAACCCTAAACCCGACCCTAACATAGGGGCCTAAATAATTACCTATATTATTTTGGGTGGTTCCTTATTATGATTATAGTATCATATGCAACAAAGCTTTAGTCTAATTATTAACGCCCCTACATACAACATTAATCCCTGATTCATCCCTACACACCCGAAGCCTAACTGGCATGAACGGTGACGTTGGGCCTTGTGCAATTCTTCCAGAGAAACAAGGGCGTCTGAACGATTAACAAGAGGAATATAGGGGCTTTTACCAAGTAGAAAAGGGTTCCTTTAAAGGATTGCTATAAAGGTTATTTGTAAGGGCTCTATAAGGATAAAATATAGGGGCCTTAATAATTAGAAGAGGGTTTGGTACTAAGGCCCCTACATTATTCCTCTAGATATATTTGACAAGTTGCCCAACTATTCGGTCCTTCTTCTAAGTGCTCACTCCCTCATTATAACTTCTCTTCTTCTGGCCATAGGCATTGAAAGTCTTCTGTGTCCTAGGGCTTGCCGAACTGCTGCTTTGTTACCATGTTTTGAAACCCTAAACCCTAAACACCATCTAAGAGTCTCCTAATATAGAGGACCTTCGTTGGTGGACACAGAATGTAGAATTCTTGACAAAGGGAAGCACATAGCGAGACACTAGGATCCTTTAGGTGAGTAAGGAGCAGGCCTTGTGAGTTCCCGACCAGAGAGTTTAGGGTTAGGGTTTTTTTTTCTGTGAGGCCCCAAACTGCTTGTTTAGGGTTTTGGGTTTAGGGTTATTACCTGCAGTATGTTGAGGGTTCCTTGTTGTAAGTACAGTAGAAAGTATCTCAAACCCCCAAAACGCTGTTCAATTTATTAAGGCCCTTGCATTATGTCCTTCTAGAACCCTTATACTCACCCTTATTGTAAACCTATAATGTCCTTCTAGAACCCTTATAATCACCCTTATTGTAAACCTATAACATGGGAACCCTATTCAAACCATCAAGGCCCCTACATGGGAGTTTCCGAAATTTAGGGGACCCTAATATAGTACCCTAAATAATAGGATCCTTATTATAAGGACCCCAAAATAAGGTACCCTAATTTTCGGAAACCCCTACATGACACCCTTCGGCCCGAAGACGAAGCTCTAACGTTCGAAGCTCGAGAATCTGAGCCGACACCGGGACGCGACTCTTTTGGGTGTTTATAGGGTTTATAGGGCGTATAGCCTTAACTTTACGATTTATAGGGCCGAAAGGCTTAACTTTAGGTGTTTTTTGGTGGGGGCTTATAGGGTGTAGAGGGTGTTTCGGGTTAAATGTAGGGCTTTGCAGGGCTTTTGGGATGTATAGGGTGTGTAGGGTTGAGTTTAGGGTTTATAGGGTTTAGGGTTTATAGGGTGTATTCGGTTTATAGGTGTAGGGCTCATAGGGTTTATAGATTTTGTAGGATTTGTAGGTTTTGTCGGGTTTGTAGGGTTTATAGGGTTTATATACTATGACATTTATCCCCCCCCCCTCACCCATCGGCGCAAGAACCGACGCGAATCCCGAAGAGCTTTGCAGGGCGACGGCCTCGGGCCATGGCTATTTCAACGTATCCTTGCTGAAGGACCCCCGACGGTGAAGCAGTCGTTTGGGCTCTAAGGTAGGGCTTCTGTTCGGGGGTTTTTGGTCCCAGTAAGGCTAACCCTAAACCCTAAATCCTAAACCTTAAAACCCTAAACCCTGAACCCTAAACCTTAAACTTTGTTCAGGGTTCAGTGTCCTAATCTGCGGGCTTGTTTGAGAGCTTAGGGTCTCTCACTTTTGTGGCTTTGGATTTGAGGGTTTAGGGTTTAGGGTTTAGGGTTTAGAGGGTTTAGGGTTTAGCGGTTCGGGTTTAGGGGTTTGGTGTTTGGGTTTGAGGGTTCAGGGTCCTGAAGCTTACAGCCGTGATATCGCTGCCGCTGGCCAGTGTTCGTATCCTTTGAGGAATACCAGCAGTACAAACTTGCAACATCTGGGAGTTTCCGAACACAACGGGATTCCGCACTGAATCCCTAAACCCAAGGATTCCTAAGAAAAGGACTTCGGGTATTATTATGATATGCATGATTAGGTGGCACTTTGGGAAATAGAAATGCAGCGGTACTTAAACCGTGCAACTCAAACCAGCAATCCGATCCGTCAGCGTTGCAATGTAGTAGTGCCGTTGTTTTATGATAGGATAAAGGAGCCCAAAGCCCGGTTGTAACCATCAAGGCCCCTACGTTACGTTACTACCTGCAGGGTTCTTCAGAGGCTGGTTCTATCCGTAACCCCTAAACCTAGGTAGTATTATCAGGGTACCCCTTTTTGGGTACCCCTTCTGAACCCTACTTTTGACTCTCTTAAAAGGGACCTTATTGAGAGGGTCTATATCCCCAAGGGTCCCCCTAATCCTAGCTCCCAAAACCTTAAATCCCAAACCCTAAACCCTAAACCCAAACAGGACCGGAGTGAAGAGTTTATTTGGGAAGAGCTCCGCAACCAGCTGTCCCGCTCCGCGAAGCGACGCCGGGTGGCAACGAGTTTCCGTTTGCAGAGCCGCAAAGTAGGCTCTTAGTAGGTATCTGAGCCCCAAAAGCAATATAGGACCCTGAATAGTAGGGTATATTATACTGTCGTTACCATAATTACAATAAGGAACCCCCCAAAACCCTATTCTAGTTATTAAGGCCCCTACATTACGTACTATACTATTACTTGGACCCTGCGCAGCGGTTTCAAATCATGTTGAATGGTGAACTCAGGGAGCCGGTCAAACCTAGGCAAGACTCGAAGCTTCTCATTGCGTCAGAAGCTTCGCTCGGTTCTGGAGTACCATACTTGAATACTTTTTGGGGGACCTGCTCTTAAGGAACCCATTATGAAATTAAAGTCTATGCTTTTAAACCCTAAACCCTAAACCCCAAACCCCCTAAACCCTAACCCCTAGAGTCCTTGAGGCCAGCGGAAGGGCTGGGAGACGACGGAAGAGTCCGACAGCTCAGCGGCCAAGCTGCCTTGGAGTTTTTAGGGTTTAGGGTTTAGGGTTTAGGGGTTTAGGGGTTTAGGGGTTTAGGGGTTTAGGGTTTAGGGTTTTAGGGTTTAGGGTTAAGCTTTCGGGGATCATTTAGGGTTCAGGGGTTCATCTAGGGCTTAGGATGTAATATTTGCTTGTTGATTGGTTTGCATTAATTTTGGGTTCGGGCTCAGGTGGAACATCTAGCTCTTGGGAAATTATTCACACTTTCACTGCGGTGCTCTCGCTTCTTCTCGTTTCTGTCGCATTGGAGACACAGCCGGTTTCGTTGTTAAATTTTTTGTTGCCGTGTCTCACTCTTTGGCAGGATAGGTCTTGGTTTGCCACCCAGGGCTTGCTTACAGACTCATGATTCCACTTGTTGTCATTATCCATTGTATGTTGCTTTGCTTGTCGTGTTGTTTATCGCCTCTAAGCCGTAAAGCAATAAAGATAGTCGCAATAACGAGCGGTTATAGTAAGCATTCGATTTTTTTAGAAGGGGAACAATCAAGACTGGGTACCGAGGCAAACTGGAAGCGCGAGCAGAATGACGATGATGCTTACGACCCACCCTCCAAGCGCTGGCGCTGGCGCTGAAACAAAAAGGTGTCAGGGTCGGCTTGGATGTTCGACTACTATAGGGATTCGGCATCGGGCTTCGCATGATAAAGATGTCTGAAAATTTGTGATCACTTGTAGTCCCTCTAAAATACACTCCAAAACCGTATTCAAATTGCTTCGGTCCCAACTCCTAAACTCTAAACCCTAATTTGCCAAGGTCCCCATATTGAAACCCTAAACCCTAAACCCTAAACCCTAAACCCTAAACCTGAACCCTTGTAGGCCCAAAACAAGCTACGTGTTGCTCAACATGCACATCCAAACCTTCAAAGCCCTGATTACCAGTTTTTGACCAGAAACCGTAAAGCTAGCAAAGCTCTGACATGGTGTCGGTACTCCTTTACTTAAGATTCGGTGGTACGGTAGCTTTCGGGCTATCGGTGTCGCTGTATCTTATGCCCCTAAACCCTAACCCCTAGACCCTTAACCCTAAACCCTAAACCCTAAACCTAACCCCTAAACCCTAAACCCTATTCAAGTCTTGCAGGTTGCAGGCTGTCGGTTCGGAGGGAGTGCCACGGAAGGTGTTACAAGCTGGGTGTCTAGTATAGGGGCCTTAATCTTTAAAGGGCTCCTTTAGAGGGACCCTGAAAGGGATCTATAAGGGATCTATGATAATGGGTTGGTCCAGGGCTTTGTGTTTCGAGTGATAAACCCGAAACCCTAAACCCCAAACCCTAAAACCTAAACCCTAAACCCGAAAGCCTATGTAGGCCTTACGGTTCCGACTGCGAGGCTTCGGGGTCATGGTTCCATGTTCAGCGCGGTCACAGAGGGGCCCTAAACCCGAAACCATAAACCGTTCATGATAAGGTTCTGCAATAAACAGTTTCTTATGATATAGAGTTCATACAGATATCGAAAGGGCTACACAGGAATATCGTCGCCCAGCAGGCAGTCAAGGTTCAGTCTGTCGTTTGAGCGAGGATGCAGGGCAGTATGGCAGGATCTCTATGCGTGGTACCTGCATGATCTGATCATCGAAGAGCGAAGCACAGCATGGGCAAAACACGCTCTGCTTTTCTTGCCCAGACCGTATGCTAAGCCCACAAGCAGCGATCCTAAGCCCTTCAGCCCCAAAGCGGTCCAACTCTATCCTAAACCCTACAGGCCCTTAGCCCCACCTGAACCTAAGCGCTCACCCCCCTAAGCCCTAAGGCCTAAACCCTGTAAGCCCAGACCGAAACCCCAAGGAACTTCAAGCCGACTTTGATCGGGCACCTCAGGTCTACCTCCACAGAAGAGCAAGTGGCAGAAGGTCAGACCCCCAAAGCGCCGGTATAGTTCGATGAGCTAGGGTTTAGGGTTTAGGGGTTTAGGGTTTAGGGTTTGGGGAGGGTTCTGGAGTCCTGCGCATGAGACTGGTGGACTTGAGCTACTATTTCTTTGTTGGCTTGCTGGCTTGGCTGCTTGTTTAATGGCTTCCTTGATAATACAATGCCTACGCACATGGTACACCGACATACATTCATACACACATACAAGATCCTTGTGAAAGGGCGATGTACCCAAGGTAACCTTTCGGGGGGTGGACCCAGACCCCAAGGGTCCATGTAATTACTCATACAGTGTACACATTGGCCTTACTGGTAGTTCCTATTTAGGTCAGGTACTTTCAGGTCACAGTATATATACCATATGGGTACATGGACCCTTAGGGAGAGAGGCTTTCTAGATTTGGGGAATCACTGAACCCTAAACCCTAAACCCTAAACCCTAAGCCCTAACAGAGAGGGCTGTTTAAATTTGGGGAATCCCTAAACCCTAAACCCTAAGCCCTAACAGAGAGGGCTGTTTAAGTTTGGGGAATCCCGGAACCCTGAACCCTGAACCCTAAGCCCTAACCAAAAAGGGCTGTTAAAAATGGGGGAACTACCCGTCTGAGTCTCTTGGAGATGCGGCTTTCGGGGATGTTAGGATGGCTTACTGGCTGGCCCTTGAAGCCCAAGGACCTTTACAGCAGGTTCCTGATTGCCCAGAGAGCCCAAGACAGCTGAACTAAGGAATGTAGCTTAAAGTATAAGGGGCTTCACGTTAAGATTTAAGCTATATTCCTTATTTAAGCGGTATTGGGCTCTCTGGGTACAGCCCGTTCCTGATGGCGGCCTGATATTACCCAGACGTAAAAGACCATAGCATCAGCATCAGAACCCATGGATAGGGAACTGGGTTGTTCGGGCAACCTTCAGCCCTACACCCTCAACCCTCCCCTAACCCCCCAGGTACCTACTATGTAGGGTACTAGAGCCCCTAGGGCCCTATATAGTAGGTACCTGGGAGGCTAGGGCTCTACCTCGAACCCCGAAATCCTGTGAGCCCTGAGGCTCTCAGCACCGACCCATGGGTCCCTGGGCCTTATATGCTAAGCTCCAAACCTGCAGCTTCTCTAAAAAAGACAGAAGCCTCAAGAATTAGCACATTATTCCCTAGGTTTAGGGTTTAGGGTTTAGGGTTTAGGGTTTAGGGTTCCTGACTACAGGATTGTTTGCCCCCACACACCCGTTTCTAATCGAACCCCTTATGGTAAACCTTTGAAAGGAGCTGTGAAAGGAACCCTCTTCTAATTGAAAAGGCCCCGACTGTAGGGGCCTACGTAATTACCAGTACTATTTTGGGGTTCCTTATTACAGTAGTTACCCCAAAACCCTATTCAAATTACTAAGGCCCCCTACATTCTATCCTGATAACAACCGTTATAATAGCCCTTGTCGTATCCCTTTAAAGGAACCCTATTCTAATTACAAGCCCTAAACCTTAAACCTTATTCTAATTATGAAGGCCCCCACATTATATCCTTTTCATAACCCTTCTAGTAGCCCTCTAAAGGAACCTTATCCTAAATTCTAATTATAAACCCTAAACCATAAACCCAAAGCCCTAAACCCCTAAACCCACAAGCCATAAACCCTATTCTAATTTTTAAGGCCCCTACTTGTAATAACCCTTATAGTAACCCTTTAAACATTGGCGGAGCCCTTTTCTAATTCTTAAACCCTAAACCCTAAACCCTAAACCTTAAACCCTAAACCCTAAACCCTAATCCCTTCGTTATAATCTGACCTGTGCAAGGCGCTCGGCATGCTGAAATGCCGCAAAGTGACGCCGAGCCCGCCTCCGAGATCTCCTAAGAGATGTCAGCGGTTCCTTTAAAGGATCTATAGGGTTTTGGGTTTTAGGGTTTAGGGTTTATTAGGGTTTAGGGTTTAGGGTTTTAGGGTTTCAGGGTTTTAGGGTTTTCGGTTCAGGGTTCCCTTAAGGGTTCCTTTAAACGATCTATAGGGTTTTGGGTTCGGGGTTCCCTTAAAGGGCTCCTTTAAAGGATCTATAGGGTTTCGGTTTCAGGGTTCCCTTAAGGGTTCCTTTAAAGGATCTATAGGGTTTATGGTTTTAGGGTTTAGGTTCCGGGTATAGGGTTTTAAGGTTCAGGGTTCCCTTAAGGGCCTCTTTCAGGGTTCATTTAACGGATCTACCTAGGTTCTAGGGTTCAGGGTTCCCTTAACCGGCCCCTTTAAGGGTTCCTTTCCAGGGTTTTCTATAATAGAAGGGTTTCCATAAGGGTTCTTCTCGGGGTTCTCTAAGATAAGGGCTTAGAGCTCTAAGCTTCAAGGTCCACAGGAAACTAAACCCTAAGCCCTGAACCCTAAACCCTAAACCCTTAACGGAAACCCGAACCACAGGAACCCCTTTTAGGGTTGAGTTTCGAGGCTCCCAGGGTCCAAAACAGGTTACATAAGTCATAACGGGTTTCTTTGATGGCGCATTTGAGGGTCCCAAAAACGGCTCCATAAGTTTTTGGATAGGGGTCGTCAGGGCCAGAGGGATCCCGATAGGGATCCCGAATTAGGTGTCTAGGTCTAGGTGTTAAGGTTCAGGGTTTTTAGTTTTTAGGGTTTAGGGTTTAGGGTAATCTTCTTTTGGATGCAGAGTTCTGAAATGGCAGCCCTTGAGCCTGACTCGATTAAGTTTAGGGGTTCGGGGTTTACCCGGTGGGGTTGAGGACCCGGATCGTCACCAGCCAAGTAGTTCTGGCATGTCGTACTATACTAGGGCCGTTACTAGAGCATGCTTGTCTACTATGCGTACAAGCACGCATAGTGCCCTTGAGGCACCCTAAACCCTAAACCCTAAAACCCCAAACCCTAAACCCATCCAAACAAGATTCATAGACATGCTGGTCTGATCACGGGGCGACGACTGGAGGACCACCGCTCCGGCTCATGGAAGGAATTACCTATATTATCTTGGGGGTTCCTCATTATTCTTGTATTAGAATGGACCCCCAAACCCTATTCTAATTCTTTAAGGCCCCTACATTTCCCCTAAACCCTAAACCCTAAACCCTAATTCTTTAAGGCTCCTACATTACCTCATCGTCTGTCCTCCGAGCGGAAGGACGCCCCGTCACATGGACGATCTCTGGAAGGCCATCAACGAGCTCGCAACTCAAT